GGAAACTGCAAAAGTCATAGACGAGCTCTTGGGGAGGCCGACGAACTGCGGCTTTGTGACTATCTAGTGATAGAGAAGCATGGCTATCGTACCAAGATTTCAGTCGTGTGTTGCAAAACAAAGCAGATTTCATTTTTCATTGTGGCTACAATAAGATACCGTGTTCCCTGATATTTCTAAAAGGTTCTCAACCCACTAAACAACCCACCCAGGGTGCTAAAGAAGGCAACCACTAAACAACACACCCAGGGTGCTAAATAAGGCACCCACTAAACAACCCACACAGGGTGTTAAAGAAGGCACCCGCAAAACAATCCATCAAGGTGCTAAATAAGGCACCCACTAAACAACCCACCCAGGGTGCTAAAGGCATCCACTAAACAACCGACCCAGGGTGCTAAAGAAGGCACACCCTAAACAAGCACCCCAAGGTGCTAAACAAGGCACCCACTAAACAACCCTACCCAGGGTGCTAAAGAAGGCACACCCTAAACAAGCACCCCAAGGTGCTAAACAAGGCACCCACTAAACAACCCACCCAGGGTGCTAAAGAAGGCACACCCTAAACAAGCACCCCAAGGTGCTAAACAAGGCACCCACTAAACAACCCACCCAGGGTGATAAAGACTATAGTTGGAGAAGGATCATTATTCTTGTGCTGGAGAAAGTTGAGAACTCTGCGCAAATTATGTGAGACCCCTGGTGAACTGAACAATGATTACCATGGTTAGACAAAGATTACTATAGTGGAACTAGGAATACTAAAGTTGGACTAGGATGACTATAGTTGGACTAGGATGACTATAAGTTGGACTAGGATGACTATAGTTGGACTAGGATGACTATAGTTGGACTAGGATGACTATAGTTGGACTAGGATGACTATAGTTGGACTAGGAGGACTTAAGTTTGGGTGGATAATTTGAGAAGCTGTGGGACTGTGCGCATGTCGTGTGAGAGTCCCTGGTCAACTGTCCTGATCTGTATCACGTGACCACTTAACAGACCAGCTCAATATGTTTTGACGTCCTAGGCGAGCGCGTGCGCCTGACCGCGTGCACCGCCCACTTTCTGACCAGTGGTGTAAGGTGGCGGGTGGCAAAGACCTGCTGACAGGCGGAATGGCAGTTGAGATTAACACGTGGACAGCTGCGTCCCCGCGGTCTGGTCAGCCGACAGCTCTCCCATAACAACTGACAAACTGAGAGATGAAATTGAAGTTTACTTTTGTGGACGATTTCGTGGACATACACATTTCATTAACCGGGACATATACATCCCTTTCCCCAGGACATAAAATACCCTTTACCGGACATAAAACACCCTCTCCCAGGACATAAAACACCCTTCCCCAGGACATAAAACACCCTCTCCCAGGACATAAAACACCCTTCCCCAGGACATAAAACACCCTCTCCCAGGACATAAAACACCCTTCCACAGGACATAAAACACCCTTCCCCAGGACATAAAACACCCTTCCACAGGACATAAAACACCCTCTCCCAGGACATAAAACACCCTTTACCGGGCATAAAACACCCTTCCCCAGGACATAAAACACCCTTCCATAGGACATAAAACACCCTCTCCCAGGACATAAAACACCCTCTCCCAGGACATAAAATACCCTTCCCCAGGACATAAAACACCCTTCCACAGGACATAAAACACCCTTCCACAGGACATAAAACACCCTCTCCCAGGACATAAAACACCCTCTCCCAGGACATAAAACACCCTCTCCCAGGACATAAAACACCCTTCCCCAGGGCATAAAACACTCTTCCACAGGACATAAAACACCCTTCCCCAGGACATAAAACACGCTTCCACAGGACATAAAACACCCTCTCCCATGACATAAAACACCCTTCCCCAGGACATAAAACACCCTTCCCCAGGACATAAAACACCCTTCCACAGGACATAAAACACTCTCTCCCAGGGCCATACACATCTCGATCCCTCACGTTCTCTCATGTTGCCTAAAAAATGACCATAATATTGAAATTGTGGTAGTAAGGACTTGTCACAATAAAGATGTTTTTTATTTATTATTTTCATAAATATCTCTATAGGCGTGGAAACGATTTTGTGGCTTAATTCTTTTTTTTTTTACCTTTGTTTTGTTTCTGTAGTAGGCTCTTGGCCGATACTTTCGCTGTGGGTTTTTTTTTTCCTTCTATATATTTGACGCGTTCAGTATGTCTTGCTCTTAATATACATCGACAAAAGATTTGACAAATCTTGTCTCTATGGAAAACATGTCCGTTTATGTCACAGTATATATGTGTATAGTTTTGTTAATTTTGACTTTATATATAGAAAACATGTCCGTGCATGTCATTAGTACACGTGTATAGTTTTGCTTATTTGGACTATCTTGAAAAACTGGTTCGGAAGAATTATCCAAATGGAACAGTTGGTTTGGTAGAAGCAATGACGTAGCATAGGGTTGGTTGCCACCCGGGGCCAGTCAAGATCATTACCGCCCCTTCCCAGGTAAACCTATTGTCATTGGTCGATAATACCCCACGTCAATATATGGAGTAAATAGCCCCCCGCCCCCCAAACTTCCCACGCCAAATTTAAACTTAACCACATTACTAAACTTAATGCCCGGTTCGAGCGAACCTCGCCAAACTGGCTCCGGCACACCGGTCATTCCAAGGAGACCTTCACCCCGTGCACCCGATCCGGAGGGCTGCGATCGCATTGAAAGCTCCCCCTCGGTAACTGGTTATGTTTGCGGTCTCACGTCTGCTTTGAAACTCAAGGATTGGGAAGAATGTTTCGTAACCTGTCCATGAACTGTGTCAGAAATATAAGATTAGTTTCATGGAGAAAAAAAAATGAAATTATATTTTCACAAATCAACATTAATATAAAAAAAATTGCCATCAGCAGGAAAATAAACAGTCAGCCATATTTGCCTTGTATGGACACCTTAAAACCAATAACTTGCTCCCCCCCCCCCCGAACCCCCCACCCCCTTCCCCACTCATGCCATATTTTTAGAAACATTGGCTTAAAAGTTCATAGCGTGATCGAGTGCACTAAGTAATATAAAAAAAATTGCCATCAGCAGGAAAATAAACAGTCAGCCATATTTGCCTTGTATGGACACCTTAAAACCAATAACTTGCTCCCCCCCACCCCGAACCCCCCACCCCCTTCCCCACTCATGCCATATTTTTAGAAACATTGGCTTAAAAGTTCATAGCGTGATCGAGTGCACTAAGTTTAGAGTATTGCCATTAGCGTAATCATTTAGCACAGTTTCACCTTTGAAATAAAAACCAACAAAATGGTTCTAAAATGACTCTAAAATATGTTGCAGATCAAGTGTAAGGAGTGAAAATGGACCATCTCGTCTCTCGACACCACAAATAACGATCAGCAACCAAATGAAACGGGTATAAAATTGTGTCCACGTTGGGGGGGTGGGGGGGGGGGGGGGTGGGGGGGGGGGGGGGGTTGTTGGGGTGAGTGATGCTCTACTGATGCAGTAATTATGATTTCAACACCATCGTAATGACACTCTTGTCATACATTTCTGATTTTGAAAGAAAAAATTAAAAGAATAACTTAGAAGATGTCTTCATACATTTTTGTTGTTGTTCCTGACAATTGTCCATGTTACACCTTCATTATTCTTTCATACCCTTTGATCAGTCAAGTCCGGCCTTGCTGCATGTATTCCACGGCCCGTGGTATCTACTTGATCTTCTTGCACTGACACCCCAATACACCTGACAGTGTTGATTGTCTTTTCATGACGTCTTAACTCCCCTTCTCACCCATGCTACCTCTGACAATTTAATATGCGTGTTTTAAAAAAAAATATTTAAAATTACAAAAAATATCCTTCATTTCTGTTACTTGACACCAACTCAACCCAATTGGAAGTGGGTTTTTTTTTGGGGGGGGGGGGGGGGGGGGGGGGAGGGGGAGGAAGGTAGGAGGGGGGGTGAGCGTTTGAATTAAAATTGTATAGGACCGTCTTCTGAAATTTGAACATTGTGTCAATCTGCCGCTAGCTTTGCCTAGCTGGCCCCCCCACTAAACTATTGTAAGACGGGCTATTTCACGGGGTACGCGCTCTCAACATGAGACGAGGTATGATCTCCCCCCCCCCCACACCCCCCAACCCCCCCGGCGGAGCTCTACACATATCTCACAGCCCAGGCGTAGCGGAACGGCGAGGAACTGTTCGCCCAACACGCCGGCCCGCCTGTCCACGGAGCCAACCATATTGTCTACGTCTGATGGTATCAACAACAGGAGCAGGTGGGGCATCGTTTGTACTTGTCTCATTACGACAGGAAGAATGCACAGTGGGGGGTGGAGGGGAAGGGGGGCGGGGGCGCTGAGAACGGTCAGAGCTGGGACTTGTTCAACTTGTTCCTTGAGTAGGGCAGGGAACTTGTGCTTTAGTAGGATACTCTTTAGTTCTAGGTAATGTCATTATCTTCTAGATCCGTGATGTCTAAGAAAGTTACTGATTAGTCCTGTAGTTTTATTATTTAACACACAGAGCTATTTCTATACACACTAATGTATTTCTCTCCGAGCAGCTTCAATTTTCAAATTCTGGCGTTTTAAAAAATTAACTATGTATAAGACATTATGCCACAAAAAATGCGTTTATTTCAGTATTTACTTGCATACCGGTACCAATTTATTTTGTTATCACCCTTCTTTACGAGTTGTCACGAATGTGGGTCTAAGGGAAATAACTGTTTAAATATTTGCACTCTGTCTTACTCAAAGAATTCTTGCTCCTGTTTTGTACATTTTAAAAAAATTATGAAAATAATAATAATAAATAAGAAAAGCTATTTTTTCAACTGCCGTAGGTCACTCAATTAAATAAGAGCTTACGGAAAGGAATTTTAAAGGATAATGAAACAAGATGTTATTAAGTCAGTAAATTTGAGAATTTATAAACAAGACAGATATAAAGCAAACTTTAGTACAAAATTTATTTAATAGTAAATTATTACAACTACAAAACACATGCACTAGTTCAATCTCAACAACACATACATTTCTTATTTTATCAAACATATACTCATAACAACACATACATTTCTTACTTCATTTAACATACACTCATTCCTTACAGCAACATATTCCCTCCCATTCCTCCCATGACAATTACTGACATACAACTTTTCATTCATAGCCACAATGATCATCAGCCTAACAGATGCCATTAGGGCGGAATTGTTACTTCCTTCTTGATCTGGTCACTGAGGAGCATCAAACCCTGGGCCGACAACTTCTGGCATTCTTTATCTGGGTCATGCTGTAACACTTCTGAAGATAAGACATAAGAATAATCAGATTGTGGGTGTGCAGACCACTATCAGTCTGTCAGGGCAGACCACTATCAGTCTGTCAGGGCAGACGACTATCAGTCTGTCAGGGCAGACCACTATCAGTCTGTCAGGGCAGACGACTATCAGTCTGTCAGGGCAGACGACTATCAGTCTGTCAGGGCAGACCACTATCAGTCTGTCAGGGCAGACCACTATCAGTCTGTCAGGGCAGACCACTATCAGTCTGTCAGGGCAGACCACTATCAGTCTGTCAGGGCAGACCACTATCAGTCTGTCAGGGCAGACCACTATCAGTCTGTCAGGGCAGACGACTATCAGTCTGTCAGGGCAGACCACTATCAGTCTGTCAGGGCAGACCACTATCAGTCTGTCAGGGCAGACCACTATCAGTCTGTCAGGGCAGACGACTATCAGTCTGTCAGGGCAGACAACTATCAGTCTGTCAGGGCAGACGACTATGCCGGCCTGATTTATAATTCATTTTTTAAAAGTATGAGTTGCCAAAACATCTAATGAAGCAACATTTGTGAGTCTTACTGAGATGGCGTTTCCATCCTGGTTTTTAATACGCTTGAAGTGTCATCCTTTTCCTTGCAGAAAAGAAACGGCAAACAAGGACACAGAAAAGTCAGATGCGAGAAAGCCATCATCTTTTTCAAGTTTTATATCTTTGGTGTTTACATCTTGGTTGCCATTTCACAACATGCCACTTATCTTCCCAATGATTTCCACACTTCACTCTACAGGACATCAGACATTCCGCCTTGATTAATAACAATTTATGTCCGTTTGTCTTAACACTGACACTGTTCACATCACAAAAATTTTCTTTTTAAAAACACACAAAAAAGTATGAAAAATAAATTTTTTTCTCTTTCCATTTTCTATGTATATGAAAAGAAAAAATAGTTCAATTGTTAAATGTAAAATTAAAAGTAGACAATAAAGTTAAACGCCAACTCAAAAGGGTGGCAGCGGAGGTCCATGAGAGAAGTTTGAGGTTTCCGCTGCCACCCCCCTTCTTTTAAATTTAAAAAAAACAACAACAAAAAAAACTTAATTTTGAAAGTAAGGTATTTCTTATTTTTTTTGTCTTGAAGAGCACACTTTCTTGAAAAGCAAAATTTGTTTAAAGATTTGCACATAGAAATAGAAATTATACTGGGAAGATTATACTGACCTTCCAGCCATTCTTTTGTGTCTGTGATTTCTGACTGGAGGTCGGTCATGAGGACGTGGGTCGGGGCCACAAGGAAGATTGTTGTTGTACAGATGAGCACAGCCTGTCTGACAGAGCTGAGGATTCAATACATAAACCAATTTTAATATTTAAGATTTTATGCTTTTTTTTAAACCAGATTGGGAAAAAACAAAAACAGTCATAATAAGGCTGACATTTTGATGAAACATTTAATCCACATTTATACATTATCTTTACATTTATACATAATCCTTTCATTTATATATAATCTTTACACATATATTATCCTTAAATGTAAATATCATCTTTAAATTTATTTATTAAAAGATAAGAAAACATAACATAACATGACATAACATAACATAAGCTTCTTTTATTGATCCAAATGAAGGAATGTATTTTCATTGCATTGTAAAGATACATTTTCAGCACATAACAAAATACATAATTTAATAAAGTCAACATCATCGCACTAATACAATTTAGACACAAGTTATAGAGACTGCACACCCATGTTGCTAACATGAAGCAAATTTGAATTACCGTACACTGGGTAATGAAGATATATATAAAAAATGAACAGATATTTTAGGACATTAAGCAATGAAACTTTTCAATGTCTTTGATGGAATCAGATTTTTTTTAATGTTAAAAAACACAACTGTATAAGAACTTTTAAATGCAAGTTCCACTACAAAATAACTTTCAAGGATCAAACGTAAAAACCCCTGGCAATGTTACAGAGGGCCCTAGTCAAACAGACCCCTGGCAATGTTACAGAGGGCCCTAGTCAAACAGACCCCTGGCAATATTAGTTTGATTAAATTTGAAAGATTTAATCATTACAGCAGTCAAATTTTCTTGAAAATGTTTTTTTTCCTTAAACCCAACAAGATTAAACTCTATTCAAACGGATAAGCCGTCAGTAGTCGTAGATGGGTAGTTTCACCCAAACCTATCACAAGAGCAATATGTGGTTTAAATGTATACGACTGCTGACTTACAGTAATGAATATTTCAAATAGGAATTAGTTTGAGGGGAAAATGCCGAGATGTCACTTTTTTTGTGTGATAAACATTTGTTGTTTTTTTTAAAAATAATCTTAAAAATCTTACCTGTCGGTGTGCATTCTCAGTGACCAGGTAAAATCTAGTAAGTTCTGACACATGTGAGGTGCACACTGAAAGAGTTGAGAAGATCTTTTAGAGTACTGACAAGTGATATGTTGAAGCTATCATTGACACTAAATTCAAACTGACGTTCTGTGCACAGGTTAGGGTAGCAACATGTTTTAACCTAATGAAGTTTGGTCATCATCGTTTTGCCTATTCCCACATGTAGTAAAAATTTTTAAAATGAACAAAAATATGCTGTAGTTAAAATGTCACAGCTAAGGACATATAAATGTCACAATTAAAGACATATAAATATCTCGGCCAGAGTATCCAATACCCATGATAATAAGGGCAATAGGTAAACTTAAAACAGTAAAAATTATGTTGGCTTAAAATGTTAATAGAGCATCTTGCAGTTAATGTGAAGGTTGTCAGTTGGATATGCCTTCAAAAAAAATTTTTAACGTTTCTTTCAACGTGTAATTTCACTTAACTAAAATGTGTCTTTCACTTAGAATTATTTAATGTTAAATTTTAAAAAATATTTGTTTTTTTTTTTAAAAAAAGGAAGAAAAAGAGCTTTTTATTCTTAAATTTTTCATAAAGCAATAAAATTATATAAAAGTTTATGTCAAGAGTCTGCTCACTTTAATTAAAGTAAACACAAACAATGTTAACCCTGACTTGAACTTAACAGCGAGTTGATGGCATGTTAACATAGATTTGAACTTACCGGCAAGTTGATGGCTGAGTATAATATAATGGCCAGGGTGTACAGAAGTCTAAAGAGCAGAGCTGAATCCTGTCCCAACAGGTCCAAACCGGATCTGTTTCTGTCTGCCTTGTTCATCAGAGGGTAGAAGAAATGCCCCGCCACTTGGTTGAAGCGGTTGGCTGTGGGGACTGGTTGTGGCCTCGATGGACCGTGCACAAACCTCCTGGTGTTGCTCTCAATTCTCCTCTGAACAATTTCCCTCCAGTTGCTTGCCTCAGAGTTGGGGCTGACATCCAATATCTTACTCTCTTTAGTCCTGAAACAGTAAATATAAATAAAATAAAATAATAATGACTAAATAAAAAATTGTGCAATGCAAGTATCATTAACCGCATCTACTTTCATTTCTTTTATAAGGCAGAGTTTCTTATACAGTTAGTTTTTACTAATAACTTGAAATTAATTAATTTTTTTTAACAATATACAGCATAGAAATAAAATAATTGAAAAAAATAATTAATTAAACATTTATAAGAAAAAACATTTTTTAATTTTATTAACTGTTTTATTTTCTATGCTGTAGAGAAATAAAATAGTTTTTTAAATTATTGAAAAATGTACCATAAATAAACAAAACATAATCTAAAGAATAGAAATTCAACTGTTGTTCCCTTCAACTTATAGAAACATCAATAACAAAAAGAACGAACTCATCGTATTTCTCTGGCTTGTCTGGTTCTGAGAGTCTCTGTGCTGCATTGGCCAAAACCTGCACAACGAATGAACAATTTTTTAAACAATTAAAAACATAAGTACAGATGGGAAAGAGAGATTAAAATAAATCTGATTCATATTTGTATTCACTGAGCTCAAACCAATTTAATAATTTTAAAAAAAGAATTATGCTGTGAAGATACTTGATGGTAAAAGCCAAATCTACAAGAGACAGGTCTGATTTACCTCAAGGATGTCCATTCTCTGCCTGATGCTGTAGTTCCTCTCATAGAACAGACCAGTTAAGTATTTAGCCACCTGTGAATGTAAACAATAAAGTGTTTAGAACACATCACTTAACTTCTGTAATATCATCAGCTTTTATCCCCACTCCATTAGAGCCTCATCCCAATATCCCTTCCATCCCACTTTACTAACAAACCTTTGTTCCAAGACCTCATCCCCATATCCCTTCCAAGCAACTTTACTAACAAACCTTTGTTCCAAGACCTCATCCCAATATCCCTTCCAAGCAACTTTACTAACAAACCTTTGTTCCAAGACCTGATTCCAATATCCCTTCCATCCCACTTTACTAACAAACCTTTGTTCCAAGACCTGATTCCAATATCCCTTCCATCCCACTTTACTAACAAACCTTTGTTCCAAGACCTCATCCCAATATCCCTTCCAAACAACTTTCCTAACAAACCTTTGTTGCAAGACCTCATCCCAATATCCCTTCCAAACAACTTTCCTAACAAACCCAAGACCTCATCCCAGTATACCTTCACTAACAAACCTTTTCCGGGCAGTGCACAGCCAAAGCCACCAACGCTGAGAACCTGTTGATTAGAAAGTTCTCAAAGCTGTGGGTGTCCTCAAGGTGCAGGAGGATTTGTGTGAACTCCACGGCAATCTGGCAGCGGGTGAAACAAAGTGATGAGGTAGAACCACAATATGAGACCACAATATGACAAAATATGAGACCATAATTTAAGACCATACAGTCACAAATATGAGATCACAACGAGACCACAAAATGAGACAACAATATAAGATCACAATATGAGATCACAATAAGAGACCACAATATGACATCAAATAAGAAACAACAATATGAGAACGCAATATGAGACCACAATATGAGACCACAATGAGTCAAAAATATAATACCCAATATGAGATCACAATATGAGACCACAAAATGAGGTCACAAAGAGTCACATGAGTCTACAGCATGAGACCACAATTTGAGACCAGCTCTGAACTAAACATATCAAAAGCAAGCAAAGGGCAACTCAGAAGATATGAGTAGGATATAAGAAAACTAAAATCAAATAAAACTGCATCCCAAGATAAAATTCCAATAGATCTTTATTACTATTATAATTCAGGGTGTTTGAATGTAACAAATAGATCTTACTATTATAATTCAGGGTGTTTGAATGTAACAAATAGATCTTACTATTATAATTCAGGGTGTTTGAATGTAACAAATAGATCTTACTATTATAATTCAGGGTGTTTGAATGTAACAAATAGATCTTACTATTATAATTCAGGGTGTTTGAATGTAACAAATAGATCTTACTATTATAATTCAGGGTGTTTGAATGTAACAAATAGATCTTACTATTATAATTCAGGGTGTTTGAATGTAACAAAGATTTAAAAAAACAAAGTTATTGTCTTAGCATGATCAAGAGATAAGGTCAGATGGGAAGGGATGAATTAGCTTTTTTTGGGTTAAATTGTTTTATACCAAGAACTGGTTCCTGGGTTTTCCCAACTGCGTGGGGACCATTTTTACGATACTTAAAACATTAAAAACTCTGACATCATCCTCTATTTATAACCAATCTCACATCTGCGGTTGTCTGATTTGACGCAGAAGAAGCAAAATCAAGTTTTAACAATGACTGAACACACAAATGATCCATTTATTGTCCCACCACAAGACAGCTTGAAAAATGCGGCCATGAAAAGCATGGCGAAATGGGTTACCTCCTCTAGGCCGCTTGATTTCTGTTTAATTAATTTCTCAGCGTGTTGCAGACAGAGCTCGGTCCTATCAGGTTCTTCAGAACTGCAAATTAAACCTTGGAGGGAAATTTGATTGAGATAAATAGAAAAATTAGCCAAATGTTCAAATTGAACTCTGAACTCCTATTGCATCCCTTCCCAGCCAAATAGTTATTTTTTTCTATGTTAGTATTAAAACTTTGTTTGGGTGCTACAACTAGAAATTGAAATGTGTTGGGTTTGATACAATTAATGTAAGAAACCAGCTCTGACCTAAACAATTAATGCATTAAAATAATAAAGTGAAAAAACATAATGAATTAAAGCAGTATTTTCACGGCAAGGAAATTAATATACTCTCATTCAAATCCTATTATTATCTTGCTAAAAATACAGTGCTATTTCACATTAAACGATTTTACACAAAAAAATTATAATATCTTTCATAATTTTGATATAGCAGACAGTTTTAATTGACGACAAAATAAATTGTAAGTTGATCTCAAATAGCAAACAACAAATTTTTTGAAAATGTTACCTTCCATGCACTCCCGCACATATTTTGGTGGCGCATGTTTCGTGACCGTCTTGTCATTGGACATATCATAGGGTTCCAGATCATCATCACTGAAATATTTGTACGCAACACCACACGTCAAAGACCTGTGTCACTACTTGCATGTATGTAACTATAAAAACTCAAACTCATGTCTTTTTACAAGCTCTTATTGGACTTGACATGACAACTTTTACTGATTTAAACCTTTGAAAACTTCAAAATTCAGATCTTGAATTTGGCACAGGGTATGATCCTATTAACTCCTGAGCTCAAATCAAGCACAGAGTATGATCAAGTTGAGCCCCAGAGCTCAGATTGAACACAGCGAATGATCCTGTTGCACTACAGAGCTCAAATCAAGCACAGAGTATGATCAAGTTGAGCCCCAGAGCTCAGATTGAGCACAGCGAATGATCTTGTTGCACTAAAGAGCTCAAATTGAGCACAGTGCTCTGAGATGCTGTACATTTCATCAAAGTATGACTCTGTATGTATTGAGAATATTTAATATAGAACACCTTTCATATTAAATATTTCTGGATGATATAATATGCACTTAAAGAGGATGTAATTAAGTCTCAAGTACACCAGATTTATCAATTTGCTGTCCTTGGCAGCCATGGCTGAAATTTTTATTTCTAAGTCTCATTTTTAGCTTTAATTATATGAAATCAATGTATAAATTGAACATTTTTTAAGCTTTAGAAGAGAAAAAATAATATATATATTAATTTAATAATTTTGAATAAATATTCTGAATATTAAAATGTTGTCCTTATGTTATTTTTCCAATGGTTGTTGGAGAGGTCACTGCTGAAATTACTGAAATTTTTAATTTTTTTTTCAAAATCTCAAATTATTTCACACCTGTCTAGTTCTGATTCTTCAGCTTTGAGATCGACTTCTGGTTTTTCTTTCTTTGCCTTGTCACTTTTATTGTCTTGCTCTTTTGCTTCAGGTAAAACAATTTCTCTGTTCATTCACAATTTTAAAAATTCATTAAAATAAATATAAAATATAGGAGCATCATAAATTAAATACCTAATCACAGAAATACTTTTAACAGTATTAATTTTTTTTTTTTAAACTAGAAAGGCCGATTTTAATGACACAATTCTTTTTTTTTATGCTTACTTTTAAAAATTACAGTAAACCCTTAAGTTGCTTGCTTTTTTAAAAGTATCTTATTTTAAAAACACATTTATGTTTCATTTTAAATTGAATGCACATAAAATATAAAAATAACTTGCTTTTCAGCCTCTGAAGGTCCTGGATCCGAAGGAAGATCTTTATATGAAAGCAGATCTATCACCAGAGGATCTGTCATGTCAAGTTCAAACTCTAGTTGTGGGCCTTTTGGCTCTACAATTTGGGTCAGTATTTTAGCAATGATCATACCGACCATTCTCATGGATGGGTCGGAGCTCTCTAGATGGGCTTGGACACCAGGCATTAGGAGGTGCAAGAGCTCTATCAAAACAAAAAAAAATATCAATAGGAAAAATAGAAATTTTAAAATATATCAGATACCTGATAATACTATAATCTTGAACTTTGAACACTCCAGAAGCAGAGTGAATAAAGAAAGGTCACTGACATGCTCTGAAAACGAATACTTGCCATCATGGTGTTTTTTCCGTTCTTCTTCAGTCATGACTCCTAGACAGGCCATCAAAGCTTTTGAGATGTAAAGGTGTTGTTCAGCTGATATGCGCTTCATGGAGCTGCTGTCTCCCCAGACACCCAGGAGGTTTTTGCACACCTGGAACAATGCAAACATGTTTGGTTAAATAAAATGACACTTTCATTGGCTAAACAATATATGAGCTATTTATTTCTTCATTTAATATGGTTACAATTTAGGTTGCTCACCTTTTTCCTTATTGGTCAATAATGTACATAATAAATAAATGTACATTACAACAATACAAATACTTATTAAATAACCAAATAAAAAAAATCACATATTCATGATATTTGTATTTAGGGCAACATGGGGTCAGACAGTGGGAAAAAATGAGGGGGGGGGGGACAAAAAAAAACAACAAACAAATGTACAAACATCAATACTTTACAGCTAATATGTTTTTGTTGGTGAACTTCGCTCATTGAAAGGGCAAAATTTTTTTTTTTAAATAAATAAAATCAAGGTAGACTTATTAACAGCTACTGATCTGAAATGAATACAATACACAGAGATTTACAGTGCCCAAGAATTTTCTTCTCACCTTTAAGGTTTATGTAAAAAGCAAGTCACCGACCCCTATCCTTTGCAAAGCTTCATTCTATATCATATTGTCCCTAAATAATAAGCTATATAAAACTTAAAAGGCTTACCTCTATTAGAAGATGGCGCCTTGTATGAAAAGATGCCAAGTAGCCTATAATATTGTGTAGAATTGTCTTCTGCGCAAAGAAATGTTTTTGAAAAGTAAGCTTCTTGACTGCATTAGAAAATGTCATTTCAAGTAGAGAAACTTGCCAAAGAAGTTAATTTTAAAATTTAGATAGGTTTCTGCATATAAAATGAATCAGATTCAGCATTCAAGCTTTTAACTCTTTTGCTGCGGAATTTTTTTATTAAAAAAAATGTAAATTTTTTTCGAAGAGCGGAAAAAGAGTGATAGGTTGGGTTTATTAAAAAAGATTTAAAATATTCTTTGATTTATAAGACTACACTTGGTATCAAATGAAAGGTAATTGAAAGGACTATATGTTTGTACACTTGTTTCTTCACTTTAAAAAAAATAAGTTGCAGAAAAGAACCCTAAAATGTGGAAAAAATTTTATGCTAAATCAATTTCCCCCAACCCTATAATCAACGCATACCTCATCTTAACTTCTATAACTCAATTCCTCTAAAACTACTACTATCGGAATCATGCGATGCATCTAAATATAAATCATCTTCACTATGAAACGAAATAGTATAAAACAATTCCAAAGCTTTTTTAACTGTTCATCGTCTAGGAAACTTACCTACTATGGCTAGGGTAGCCTTAGCAATAGTAGAAAAAAAAAACGCAAAGAAAATCATAAAAAAATGCTTCAAATGACAACAAATAAACTTTGGTTTCGCTTATAAACAATGAAATACCACTCTTCTAAGTAAAAGTCTTATTTAAAAATAGCTCTTAAAAAGTTTAACAAAGAAATAGCAAAGAAACAAACATGATATTGAAACAACACACAGCGCTTTGGTCCGTGGTTTTGAGAACGGCGGAAGAACGCAGTGTGCGTTGTTCCGCATCGAAAGAGTTAAGATTATTTTTTAAAGCATTTTCTATGAACAAATCTAAATTTAGCTCAATTATTTTTCTTATCTTAAATGAAAGACCAAGTTATTTAATCCTCTCTCTCCTCGAGATTGTGTTACATAATGACTAAGTTTACCATTGCATTATGTAAAACTTAAAAATTGTATTCAAACAAATTTATCTTATATAAACAGACAATCAGAGAATCATGCACAAAAAATGTCACAATTACATACTGGTTTAGCATAACTCCTGTAGAGCAACATTTTTGTACATATCAACATTTTTATCCCAGTATTGTGAAGTATACAGTCTCCAAGAAATTTGTCAACCAGGCCATACCTAAAGTGAAATAAATAAATTGTTTTTCATTAATGTTCTTTAGTGAAAACCAAAGAACCTTTTCTAGTAAGCCTATAATTAATTTTATAAAATAAGATATCAAACTAAAAATAAATTATTCTAAACAAATAGGTAATAATATTTTTTTTTTTAAAGTGTCCAGCAGTCAAAAAGAACCTGGCAAAATCATTGTATACCTGGCCTACATTAAGCATGTAGAAAAATGCAAGTCATATATTTGTTGTTTTTTTTTTAAATATTATTGAAATTATTTTAATTTCATTTAATCACCCAAATAACCTGACTAGAAAAAAGGGGAGAAATCAAAGTAATATTTGCAAGAGTAAAATTAAGAAAGGTAACAATTATGCTAACATACAAATAAGAATTAAGACTTAAAAATCTGTTATGGTATTGCTCAAAAAACTTCTCCATTAAATTTTATAAAATACAAAAAAAAAATTAAGAAATAGAAATAAAATAAAACAAAATTAAGTTGAATTAAGTTCATAAAAATTATTTACCATTATTTTACTATTTTTATGTAAAAACAAAAGAAGCTTTAAGTTATGCTAATAAATATTTCCTTAATTAAATTTACAATTTTCTCACCATGAAACCTTTTTTAAAACAGGCACTACTACTGCTTCTAGACTCCTGTCTGGCACCCCAGCAAACACTCTTTGACATAATCTACACCAAATAAAGTCAGTTCTCACACGAACGCACAAATGAGGTAAAAGGGTGTCCAGTAATAAATCTATAAAACAAAGCAACCATCATCAATTTTATGTTAAAAAGTAATGGACACATAAAAATAGTTAATAAATCTTGCTATGTGATCTATAACATATAAAGTAAGTGAACATCATATTCATTATTGATCATCAAGTATTTTAAGAAAAATGTTCAACTAACCTGCATATCCCGTTAAACACAGTTTTCCTGTGAGAGTACTAACAAAAAGAAGAGAAACATCATGACCACTAGCCAGGAGGTCATGAGCCCACTGCAGAGTATCTAAGATGGCCAGTGCTATTTCTGGGATGTAATTTTGGGGAAGGAATTGTGCACTGTATCAAGATAAGAAGAGGATTGATGAGGTAAGATTTTTTTTAAAATGTATAGAAACCTATATTTTTAAAAAGTATTTGTCACTCACATATGTTTACTTACTTGAAATTTGATTGGAAAGATGAGAATAGTGCTACTTTAAAAAAAATAATTAGAAATAGAAATTATTTAGATGGCCCACAAAATTATATGCTCTTACAGAGCAAATGTCAGAAGGTTTGTTTAAAACATACACTCCCACTTAAAAGACTATACACATCCACCAATAAGGCTTTCTATTTTCATATTAAATTTTTTCAAAGTTTGCATACCTATTTTCACGCTGAAGTCTGTTGGCAATATTCTCAGGGAAGGAAGGCAGAATTTGAGAAAGTATCACTGCTTCTACATCTAACACTTGAGAAGATTTAGATGCTCCCTGGTCATCCATACTAACAGTACTTAGATCTATTAAAAGCTGAGCCAGCCTTTCATGCACCATAAACTGCTCAAGTATCAACACACATTTATTAAACTTAACATCTTTGCTGAAACAAATTGAAGGGAAAGAACATTTAAATTTATTTTAAAATTTAGATTTAGTTATTTAATTTAAAGATCATTCCCATTTTAAAAATTGTATCTTATTTATAACTGGGTATGACAAAGCATTTAAATTTTATAATGCACAAACTATTTTTATTTATTTCATAAACTTTTGTTAAAATCATGTAGCTCACACCTCATCTGACTATATTTTTCAAAGTCTACCCCTTAACTGCACAGAAAATTACCAAGAACAAACAATTTAAAATAACCTTTCTTTAGTTCTAGACCAGGGTTTGTTAACCAGTGGTGTTAGAGGCAGAGTCGGAAGACACAGTAAAAAAATCAGGTTTATTTGTATTTATATTTTGGGGGTTGCAGAATATATGCTTTGAATCCAGAAGGAGGTGCAGGAAATGTTTTAAAATCATGAAGGGGTGTGGTGATGCAAAAAGAATAAGAATAGGCCTACTTGTTCTAAACCTACCATACATATATATTTATAAGTTTAAAAAACATACAACATATAGTCTTAGCTACATGTCTAATAAATAACTTTAAATTACCTGGTTGCCCCAAAGGTTGCTTTGTTTAAAGCAAATAATGAATCCTTTACAGGGCCTTCAAGAAAAAGAGGTAAAACAAGTGTGTGGAATCCATCTGAAGTCAGTAGTGACAGCCATTCTATTGAGAACTTGGAAATTATTCTGTCATAGAATTTAATGGCATAATCTGAAATTAATTCTTGCCTAAACGACAACAATCTTGCAGGATCATAACCATATAAATTTAATCTTTCTGTTCCGAATTCTAGAATTTTCGGAACAAGAACGGCTCTAACAATTGTAAGCCACTTTATTATGTCTTCTCTTGATGCTGATGTTTGCAAACCATTTATTATTTCCTTGCCAACAAGCCGGGAATTTTCCATTATTCACAAACATATAATGACTCTATCTGACCATTTTGTACCAGCGCATTGCTAGTCTTAATTTTATTTTGTTGTTTATTTTAAAGTTTGGATTTTGTTGATTTTGTTTTGTTGTATGCAACCTCTTTTAAGAGTGCTCTACCTTATTTCAACCAAAACTAGGATGAGAAAGTTGGTGGGAGAATACTTACTAAAAAGAACTATATTTTGCAATCAAAATTAAGTTATAAATTTGAAAATAATTTATTTCATATTAATTTACTCCTAATTAATTTAATTAGTTAAAGGAAATATTTTTAAATGTTCAATATTACAATCATGAATAAAGAATTATAAAAATATTTCCCTTTTAATAGATTCATTTTTATATTCGTTCCTACGCTCTAAAAAGTTTTCAATTTTTTTTAAATTTTTTTTTTAAAATTATTATAACTTGTAACGTGTACGTCAGGGTGTGAAAATCACTGTGTCTATAGTATTTGAATGTAGCCATGTGTGTTTATGTTGATGTCGTCATCAGCGTGGGTGTTTCGTAACATTATCATATATTTTGTCTTCGCTTCATTTACATCAAGCCCAGCTTTGACTGAGGCATTTTCAAATTCCTTGAATGCTTTAATTATATCATTTCGGTGTCTGCCAAGTAGCGCTATATCGTCTGCGTATGGCTGGCTATTTAAAGTTCCTGATGATTGTTGTTCTGTAGTATCTCTGTGGAGGTAGCTTGTTTTGGTTCCGCTGGTGCTCATTTTTATGCTTCTAATAACTTTTTTTTCTAGCGTGATGTTAAACGGGATACATGATAGAGTCTCCTTGTCTGATTAACCCTAATTAACTGGAAACTCCCTCGAGTATTCTCCATGTAGTTTGATTCTACATTGGAGTTAGCCATCGACATAGGTATGAGCCGAGTTCCTGTAGAGCAGCGGTTCTCAACCTTTGGGGGTCGCACGGCCCTTTCCCATGGGTCGCCTAAGACCACCGGAAAACACATATACTCTACAGCTATAAAATAATTGTGTGGTTGTGGGTCGCCACAACATGAGGAACTGTATTAAAGGGTCGCGGCATTAGGAAGGTTGAGAACCACTGCTGTAGAGCATTGCATAGGTAATTCCTGTCTGCACTTTTCTGCCGGGATCCGCATTGGTAATCCACTGGTATCTGTTAATTCATATCCTGTTGGATACTGTTGGAATTCTTACAAAGAAATTTCCGGCAACCCTGTTAATTACATTGTTAATTACACCTTTCCAGTTTTCTTACTCTTACTCTATGTTTTGTAAGGATATTTTGTACATTACACTGAGAAGGGGGATAGTTACGGCTAAGATAATTTTTTGTGAGTTGGGATTATGTGACCTGCCAGATTCTGGATATGAGGTCGTGTATGAGGTCGCTTTGCGGGGCCCGCGTGTTGCCGTAGTATATTTATAATATACACAAGTCTACTAATAGTTCCTAATCCAGTTATTGGATAGTTATTATATATTCTTCTTCTTATATTCGAGGGGCCCACAATGTGTTCCTGGTTTAAATTCAGAGTTTGCCTTCTCTTAGATGGATTGCCGTCCAAGGCTAACGAGTCCCATTCACCCGAAGTGCTTGAGATGTTGGCTTTGGTGGGGATTGAACTCCAGACCAGCAATGCTCTACAGCAGTGGTTCTCAATTTTTTTTTAAAAATTATTATAACTTGTAACGTGTACGTCAGGGTGTGAAAATCACTCTGTCTATAGTATTTGAATGCCGCGACCCTTTAATACAGTTCCTCATGTTGTGGCGACCCACACCCAAAAAATTATTTTATAGCTGTAGAGTATATGTGTTTACCGGTGGTCTTAGACGACCCATGGGAAAGGGCCGTGCGACCCCCAAAGGTTGAGAACCGCTGCACCAGCAGCTATTTGGTTTGAGACAGTTTAGACCGCTCGGCCACCCAGCATCCAGTAAGGCCCCAGTACAACTATAACGTGTCTTAATATCCTATCGGCGGAATATATAACGTCAACGGCCCCGCAAAATTCAATTTTCCTAAGGCCCCGCACCCTCCTAGCGCCGGCCCTGCACCTAGTTTTATCAGTTCTGCAGAGATAAGGTCTGTACTCGGGGTTAAGCCCGAAAATGGGGCCAGTGCGATGTTAAACAAATTATGTATACGTTAAATACCCAAACAAGTATATGATGATGGCACCCAGGGAGTCTGCCTTTTTCAACCATCCCTTCCACTTCTTTTTTCGCACCTCACCGGAGCTGGCTGTCGAGTGTCGTTTCAAGTCCTGGTCACCACAGCGAATCACCAGCGGTGAATTAGTCATGCAGAGACGGGGCAAGGCGAGGTGTGCTACTGACATGGATCAACTTATTGATCCGGACCGCGCCGAACCCGACCGTGAGATTGGACATGGTCGGGTCAAGACCTCGGGGATTATTGAACAATCGAACTGTACCGATACCTGTCCTTATAGGTGTGGAAGTATAGGGCCCCGGAATAAAGTTATTCACGCCGGGCATTGTGGTTAACTACGGAAGTGATAGGATCATTGGTCATTTTATGCATAGATATATTATGTTTTATTCTCAAGGTAAGTCTGAAAGCAGTTTGTCTAGTAATCCTAAATTCCTAAAGTCTGCCATAGATTAGCAGCATCACGTATAGTCTTGTTCCATTGGTGCAATGGTGACCATATAGTCTTGTTTCATTGATGCAATGGTGACCATATAGTCTTGTTTCATTGATGCAATTGTGACCATATAGTCTTGTTTAAAGAAACAATTAGTTAACGATTATTTAAAAGAGACGAAAATTAAAAATCTGATATTTTCTTTTAACTATGTTTAAATCTCCATGGTTACGGACAAATGATCGATTGCGGACTTTTTAAAAATCAGAAAACATAACTTACTAAGGTTTAACGGGAGACAAAATTGTGCAAGCTGGGGCAGTTTGTGGGTGTAAGGGGGTGGGGTGTGTGGGTGTGGGATTTTTAAGAGGGGGGAGGGAGGGTCAAAGGTCAGCCAGGCTTTGTTCACAGATGTGTGTTGGCCAAAGTCCTTTGATTGCATCTTTGCGCCCTGGGCAAATGAAATAATCGGTACATACGTACACCCCAAGACCCACCACTCCCCACCCAAATTACCACGTAAGACCCTAAGCTAAGACACGGTGACAATGTTATTTGAAGATAACAATCTCACTCTTGCTGGTCACGTTGTGCTAGAGTTGTTACCCCACTCCCGGCGTAATGAAGTCACAAACACCTCTAAAAGCCTTTTAAAAAAGTTGTTGATCGAATATAGAATAATTAAAGGTTAAATATAGAGCAGTTAAAGGTCGAATGTAGAGTTGTAAAAAGGTTGAATAAAGAGTAGTGTAATTTTTGTACTACAAAAATGCGATTAAAATGTGGTTAATTTGGAGGGGAAAGTAAATATGATTTTTTTGTTTACACTACCCTAGTGATGACTAGCCCCGTGAAGTTGTATTGCTATTTACTGTTAACATATTTAGACGATACCTTATAGCAGGCCTGCACTACATACGGCCCGCGGGCCGCATGTGGCTCGCCAGCACCCACTTTGTAACGACAAACTCTTTATTCTTATTATTTTCTTAAAAGCTCCCTCCCTGACCTATATTCTTTTTTCCCGCACAAGTCCTGTCCTATTTTCTTTTGGCCCGCACAAGTTTTTCATAATGTATTACGGCCCGCCTTATATTGTTAGTTGTGCAGGCCCGCCTTACATTTTGAGTTGTGCAGGCCTGCCTTATAGTATGTGATCTGCTGGGTTTGAAAGGTCAACCTGTTAAAAACGAGAGCCCAAAATTCTTACGCATAGTGGCGAATCCAGAATGCAAATGACTTTGCCACCAACAGTCACATTTTCTTCTAGAGCCACCAACAGTCACATTTTCTTCTATGACTTTCCCACCAACAGTCACATTTTCTTCTAGAGCCACCAACAGTCACATTTTCTTCTAGAGCCACCAACAGTCACATTTTCTTCTAGAGCCACCAACAGTCACATTTTCTTCTAGAGCCACCAACAGTCACATTTTCTTCTAGATGCCCTCTAGGAATGTACGGTGGTTAGTGTGTGGTGGGGTGCCACCAACAGTCACATTTTCTTCTAGATGCCCTCTAGGAATGTACGGTGGTTAGTGTGTGGTGGGGTGCCACCAACAGTCACATTTTCTTCTAGATGCCCTCTAGGAATGTACGGTGGTTAGTGTGTGGTGGGGTGGGGTGTTTTACAAGTTAAAGACCATCCCCTTGTCACGTGTGTCACACTTAGTATCGGAATGTGAAAGTGGTATTTCTGCACACACCTGGACTAGGTAGCAGCTGGTGAGCCACAGAAGTGTACAATATGTGGAGCAATAGGCTCAATAGGTCTGCGAACTGATAGACTAGCCCGACTGACAGACACCTCCTCCTCCCCTTCTCCCCCATACCCCCAACCAAAACCAATGTAAGACAGGGAGGGCAAATCGCTGTAAACGAAGTAGGCTGAATTTCACCAATTTACTACTAAATTACTATCACACATTCCAAAGTATTTGTCGTCTCACTGATAGCCGAGTCAGTGATACCACGAGTTGTAAGGTCAATATGTCATCAATCAATGGTTAAGACAAGATGTGTCCCCAATGTAGGCTAGTGACTAACTGAAATTGCCTGAACACCAGCGAAAGGACACTGGTATGTTACTGTCGTGACGTAATTTGTGAAGCAGCGGTTCATTCCAAAAAACCTATGTGTGCCCCCATGGCCCACCCATTCCCTTTAAATTCTTTGTAGGAAAGAGTTGTTGCAGGGAATATTGAGAGCGATAGAAGACGTAAGAAGTCATTTAAGATTAAACAAAACAAAACAGTGTCATGAAAGTATAACGTAGCAATCGTGTGTGTTAGAGTGGAGCACTTTTGGAAACGCTTTCCAGGCCGCAGTTAGTAGGCCACGGAATCAACCTAAAAAAGTGTATCATGTAATATTAGTATCATGAAATATTAGTATCATAAAATGTTAGTATCATGTAATATTGGTATCATATAATGTTAGTATCGCATAATGTTAGTATCATTTAATGTTAGTATAATGAAATATTGGTATCATTTATTGTTAGTATCATATAA